TATATCAAACAGTATAATTCTTGGTATCAGATAGGCTAATTCCTAGCCAAGTTCGATAACATCATCTAGAAATGAGTTAAAAGACGCTAGAGATATGAATTGGATATTGGAAATCATATAGCAAATTTGATTCGTAGGCGGGGTTTGGAGGTCTATTTGAAATCTGCACCAGAACCCCCAAAGTGGCCTATATATCCAATAACATTGTGAATAAACTTATTATTTTGTACATAATTACTTAGTAAATTATAAATTGACATTATATAAATATATCTCTTTAGAAATTAATCATTAATTGAACTTGTAAAACATTAAAAATTACTGTGTAATTAAAAAAAATCAATACTCAGACATTCTGTATAACAGTTGTAGTTTGCAAGAATTATATGTTAATAATATAGAAATTCAATTAAATATTATTTAAACTTTTATATTAAATTATTATAAAAAAGAATGCAATTTTGATCATTTTAAAATTTCAAATATCAAAATTCATAAATTTATACTAGTTAAAACTAGTGTGCATTTTTTATTCTATAACTCATTTATATAACTCCTTTTCTATTTCAAGATAAAATATATTTTAACTAAAAACATATATTTATCTTTATTATTTTTATTTCATCTATTCAATTTAATTTACTTTAACTCATAATCTAAAATATTTTAGAATCAAGATTAAAAGTATCTAAAAGTTTTATTTTTTTTATATTCTTTAGCATTAGCAATAATTTTTTATTTAATAGAATATGAACTTTTAAAACTTATAATATATTAAAAATGATTTAAAATTGTAAAGATGAAAAAAATATAATTTATAAAGATTATAAATATGAAATTTATAAAAAATGCAAATAAAAATTTGCAAACATAAAGTAAATATACTGATTTATATAATATGGAAACGTTTTCAGTAAAATCAAGTCATGAGGCATAGTAAATCATATGATCCTTATCTTCTTTTAAACTTATAGTTTTAATAAATATACCATTATTATTAAATTTAAAATAGCTGTTATTGATTACAATTCAAATGGTTAACAGCCGAAATTAGCCCTCTAATAATTTGTATGTTTACCAATCAGAACTTATACAAGCCACTTTTTTGACAATCGCACGTTATTGGTTGAGTAGTTTGAATCACAAGATTCACGATTTTTTGTTCGTTACCAATATCCAAAAGAGAATTCGGAATAGTATTACGTCATTCCATATGATTTCCTAAAATAAACTTACGATCGAAATTCTCGCATTGTCTTGCGTTAAAAAAACGGAATCAACCTTTTTCAGCTTTTTTTTGTTTAATAACTAGACTATCTATTTATAACAATGTTACATAAGATTTGTATACTTGAACTTCTATGGCTCCTTTAATATATTTATATAAAGAACCACTTTGATTTTCGAAACGTCTTTGCATTTTTTATTTTATTTTATTTTTTTTTTATTTACTATTATATTGTTTTTTTTATACCTATTAAGGTTTGTGTCTTTATATAGTTGTGAGCTTCTGTTTTACTTTCATTTTTTTATACCTTTTTTTTTTTTAATATCTTCTTGGTATATATATATATATATATATATATTTGTATATTTTCATTTTTTTCATAATTACAATAATTCTTTGGTTTTGGCTTTTTTTCTTTTTACTCGATAAAACTAATATCATTTGTTGTTAAACTTATATATTTACTTTATAAAAAGGAAAAATGAAAAGCCCAAAATCTGCACTGTTAGGTAGTAAATCTAGATTTTTGAAAATCTTCACCAAAGTTATTAATGAAGATCCAAGAAATAGGACAATTAGTCGTAGACAACTTTCTGCTTTATCACCGACAAAACCTCATTTTCCAAACGTACCAGAAGTTGAAGACGAAGGTTTTTTCACAGTTGAAGATTTAACTCCCAAGATAGGTGAATAAAGAATATTATTTAACGCGCATGGGAGTAGATATAAATGTATTTTATTCAATAATCTAGTTGATCATAAAATTAATTCATTGCGCAATCACATTTTATATATAATCAGTTTTTTTTTTATCAATATTTAAATTTCTTTCGTTCATATATAAGATAGAATAGAGTATAATTGATGCTTTTATAATACTGATGAAACCTAATTATCTTATTCATTCTTTCCCTATAAGCAATTTAAATAAGGAAATGATACATTTTTTATAAGATTTGTATACATAATTAATTATTTTATAATGATTTACTTAGATTTTCTCATTTCTCTTCCATACGAAATAGCCGCGTATATACTTGTGTTTGTGGATTTTAAGACATTATGTAGAATGTCAAGAGTTTCTCGTGCATGGTATTGTATTTCTCGAGACAACGAAATATGGCGTGGCATGTATGCGTTAAATGAGGGATGGAAACACAATGTGCCACGCGAAGTTACTCTTGCAGGTGAAGTTGACTGGAAGCATATGTATAAAAATCGATATACACTTGCATTACGATGGAAAAAGGGTGAATGTGAAAAACGATATCTTAAAGGACATTTAGATAGTGTATATTGCATTCAATTCGATGAACAAAAGATTGTGACTGGATCTCGTGACAAAACCATTAAATTTTGGGACATTAACACTGGGAATTGTTTCCAGACGTTATATGGACATGATCTTTCAGTCTTATGTTTACAATATAATAATTATATCATGGTTTCAGGATCGAGCGATATGACAATTATAGTGTGGGATATGTCAAATTATAACCAAAATGTGCCTCAATTGATGCGGTTGGAAGGACATTGTGCTGGTGTATTAGACATTTGTTTTGATGGTTATCACATAGTCTCTTGCTCAAAAGATAGTACGATTAAAGTTTGGGATGTACAAACGGGCGAATGTCTTCGTACTTTAGTCGGTCATCGAGGTCCAGTTAATGCTGTTCAACTTAAGGATAATAGAATCATTTCAGCCTCAGGTGATGCCTTAATTAAACTTTGGGATTTAGAGAAGGGAACGTGTATTAGAGATTTTGTTGGGCATACACGTGGGTTGGCATGTGTTCAATTTGATGGAAAATACGTTGTTTCAGGATCTAACGATAGAACTATTAAGATATGGGATGTTGAAACAGCACAATGTATTCGAACTCTTGATGGACATACTGATTTAGTTAGAACGTTACATTTTGACAATGACAAAATTGTCAGTGGAAGTTATGATCAGACTGTTAAAGTTTGGGATTTAAAATCTGGGAAACAATTGCTTGATTTCCACGAAGGTCATACAAGTTGGGTATTTGACGTCCAGTTTAGTTTAACAAAAATCGTTAGGTAAGTTATCTTAATCGAATTTAACTTTCCTTTGAATTTGAAATAACTTCTCTCCGACAATAATAGTTCAAGCCAAGATCAAAAAATACTGGTGATGGATTTCGCTGATGATTTGGACACAAGATACGTTATTTAATTATTTTAGTGGACATTAATTTTTTTTTCATTTATGCTTGTTTAAAATATCATGAGTATTATGATATCATGGTTAATTGGACTTTCATTCTTCTAAATGATTAATTTATATTAACCATGTGATTAATTCTTTTCCCCTAAATTCTAATAATAGATGATTCTTATCTTTCAATGTTCATATTTTTCTTATTTAAATTTTTTTTAATTTTTTTCCTAATTTGTATACATTTCTTTTTTGTCATTATTGGTATTATCAGCACGGTTTATTGTAATAGTTTGACATAATATGTATTTATGAATACGTATTAACCATTCTTAATAATAAAATATTTTGTAATTTATTCATAAGACATTTGGTGATTATAACGTGTTTGCAAAATATGTTACATGCCATTGGTTGGAACTTTTTTTTCGATCTATTTCTCGTTTAAATTCCGAAGATCTTCTAAGTCGGAATGTTAATGAACCGATCCATCTGATCTCGTCCGATCTTTAGCGACCTGGCGGCTAGGGCGATCTTTAAGATCGATTTTTAGACCGATCATTATAGAACGGTCTTAGAATCGATTTTGAACTCAATATTTAATAATAGTAGCATTACAAAAAAAAAAAAAATTATTGATGTAAGACTAAAAAAACGTCAAAACATGAAAGAATTATTTCCTTTTTAAAATATTCTTTTTGTCTGGAAACGTATTGAAAATTTAGATAATACTGATAGAAAATTAATTTTCGCACATAAATCGAAGAATTACAACACTATGTTAAAGAATGGCAACAATTATTTGAAAGAGAGATGTATAACGAGCCATTTTATCATAAAGATTTCCTTCAAAGGGAACGTAACGTGTATTAGGTATTATTGGCGGGATGCAAAACTTAGTAAAAGAATTGTATGATTTGACATTGATTCGGAATGAACATTCTATCTAACATGAAAAGAACTTTTCAAAAATCATTATTAGTGAATATGATTTTGGTTCAATAATTTGCATAATCACATGTCCAGAATACCTTTTTTTTAACCGATGATCACAGAAAGAGATATTGTCCGGCTCATTAATGACCACGTGACGGTCCAATATGATCGGATCGCGTCTCCTTGAGATCGTTTCTTCTAGGTTACACGAAGATGAATGAATGATAACAGAAAATTTCGTTTTACAGATTTTTTCTTATATTAGTATAATACTTTGGAGATTAGGAGCGGTCTTTTACAATGACTTTTCTTCACCGTGCAGCGTCGAGATTTATACGCAGAAAACCGGCGTTTGGCAATAATGTATATTCGTTGAATCCATTAAGAAATGGAATATATCCTGTGGCTTTTAAAAGTGTGTTTTTTTTTTCCCTTTTTTTTATTTGATAAAAAATTTTTTTTTCTAAAAAAAAAAATTATATATATATATATAATATTTTTCTCGTAATTTTTTAATAGACCGTCGGTCCTATGCCTCCGAGGCCAATACCGGTACAATTCAAGCTGTTATTGGTGCTGTAGTTGATGTACAGTTCGACGAAGCATGTTTGCCTTCCATTTTAAATTCTTTGGAGGTTGATAAAGAAGGTAGTCGTCTTGTACTAGAAGTAGCACAACATTTAGGACAAAATGTTGTTCGTACTATTGCTATGGACGGTACAGAAGGTAAATAATAATCTTTTATATAAATTTCGAAAAATTCTCGATAATTATGAGTTATAATAAATATCATTTAATTCAAATTAGGTCTCACCCGTGGGCAAAAAGTCGTGGATACTGGGGCACCAATTAGAATTCCTGTTGGTCCAGAATGTCTAGGACGTATTATTAATGTCATCGGTGAACCTATCGATGAACGAGGCCCAATTAAGACAAAAAAGTTATCTCCAATTCACGCCGATGCACCAGAATTCGTTGATCAATCTACAGTACCAGAAGTTCTTGAAACCGGTATTAAAGTTGTAGACTTATTAGCTCCTTACGCTAAAGGTGGTAAAATTGGTCTTTTTGGAGGTGCTGGTGTTGGAAAAACTGTTTTGATTCAAGAACTCATCAACAATATTGCCAAAGCTCATGGTGGTTATTCAGTATTTTGTGGAGTAGGAGAACGTACACGTGAAGGAAATGATTTGTATCACGAAATGATTCAAACAGGTGTAATTCAACTTGATGGTAAATCTAAGGCTGCTCTTGTATTCGGTCAAATGAATGAACCACCGGGTGCACGTGCTCGTGTCGCTTTAACTGGCCTTACCATTGCCGAATATTTCCGTGATGATGAAGGACAAGATGTATTGCTTTTTATTGATAATATTTTCCGTTTCACGCAAGCTGGTTCCGAAGTATCTGCTTTATTAGGTCGTATTCCTTCCGCTGTGGGTTATCAACCTACCTTAAGGTATGATATTTAAAACGTCAAAAATTATTATATGATTTATTATTTCTAATTTAAAACAAATTTGTTTATTCAACTTTTATGAAATTGTTGATTTTAAAAGTACTGATATGGGTGGTATGCAGGAAAGAATTACAACAACAAAAAAAGGATCCATCACCTCTGTACAAGCTGTATATGTACCGGCAGACGATTTAACTGATCCGGCTCCAGCCACAACTTTCAGTCATTTAGACGCAACGACAGTATTATCACGTGGTATTGCCGAACTCGGTATTTATCCGGCTGTGGATCCTCTTGATTCAAAATCTCGTTTATTAGACCCTCGTGTAGTTGGAGAAGAGCATTATAGAGTCGCTACTGATGTTCAAAAGATTCTTCAAGATTATAAATCTTTGCAAGATATTATTGCCATTTTGGGTATGGATGAATTATCAGAAGAAGATAAAGTAAGCAACTCAAATAGTAATATTTAAAAAAATTTTATGGAATTTTGTTTTAAATTTATCTTTTATTAGCAAACTGTCGAACGTGCAAGAAAAATTCAAAGGTTCTTGGTATGTATTAATAATGTTGATTGCTTAAAGAAGAGGAAACAATTCATTAATTTTTCTACGAATTGTAGAGTCAACCATTTGAAGTAGCTCAAGTTTTCACTGGTTTTGAAGGACGTCTTGTAAAGTTAAAAGATACCATTCGTTCATTCAAAGAAATCTTGGAAGGTAAATGTGACGACCTACCTGAAGCAGCTTTTTATATGGTTGGTGATGTCGAAGATGTTAGAAAGAAAGCAGAAAGTATGTACTATATTATTATGTTTATTTGATTTGATTTTATTCTTATATATTAATTTAAATTTAAACAATATATATATATTTTTTTAGGGATCATAAAAGAATTAGGAGAAAACTAAAACATAAGATAGAATTTTTGGAGATATTTCGATGTATATTCTTTTGCAAATTCTCGATAATTAAAAAAGCATATTTAAAAATTTTTTATTAATTTAAATTAAACAATTTGTATAAATGCTAATGTTGATGCGACCAGAATTAAGTTTGATTGGGCAAAATTATAATCTCTTATAATGGAAATATAATTTGTACCACATTTATTGGAATACACAAAAAAAGTAATTTGTTTTACCATAATTAAGGAAATAAATAAAATTCGAAGAGGCGGCAATTATGTCACTAGTATTTGATGCATGTAAAATTGACTTCGTTTTATCTCTTACCCATTTTTAAGTTTTTCAATCGCTTCTCTTACTACATAAATATAAAATTGTCGACAAATTGTTTTTTTATTTCCACCCACCAAAAGACTGTAATCTAAAAATAAAAAAAACAATAAAAAACATTCTCTCCATTTATACAAACTAATACTACACTGTTAAAGGTTAATAGTTTTGGGACCCACGTTTTAGATCACCTGACTAATCTTGAACTCGGTCGAGTATTTCGTCTTTAGTTCTTTTCATTATTTTCTTGGAGGGGGAAAAAATACTCTAATCTTAATCTGTATAAACAAACATAATTCTATACATTCCTTTGATTTGCCTTATCCACTACAATAACCTTATAATTAAATAAAATCTTTCCGTTCGAGTATATATTGTATATATATTTGTTTTAAAAAAAAAAAATTAAGAAATTTTTTTTATATATATAGGGGGGGTATGGACACTACTGTTCTAACTAAAAATACTCATACAGGGCTTGGTAAGGTGAAACCGTATCATAGTACCTCGGATTTATTTATTGATGGTTCAAGCGAATTAGAGGATCATTTGCATTTCTCAGCGATACCATTAGATCCTGATCCAATGGTCGGGGACACACTATATGTTTCAAGTACAAGTAGTGGGCATGGACCCTCAGTTATTACAAGTCCAGCACCATCTTATATTGCTCATTTACCTTCTAAATTAAAGAATTTTTTTAGAATAAATGTATCGAGTCATAAAAAAGAAACTTCTACTAATTCATCAAGCACAAATGGAGGAGAATTAGGGGAAATGGGTTCTTCAACTTCTCTTTCATCAAGTTTATCAAACGGTAGTCAGAAGATGGATAATAATAATAATAATAATAATAATAATAATAATAATAATGTAAATTGTTGTTCACAAAATGGATTATTATCAAAAAATAATGAAAAAAGTAAAACAATTGGACCTTGGTTTCTTAAAGACGGAAGCTATAATCAAAAATTACGTAGAGTAGCTTCTGCACCTAATACAAAAGCATTAAATGAAAAAAATTCTTCACATTCACAATTGTCACAACAACAAATTTTAGGAAAACATAACAATAATGAAAATTTGTCTGTTCCAGTTAGGCCTTTGACAGAAATGAAACGTTCAGGAACTTTTAAAAGAACTTACTCTTCAAATTCTATCAAAATTAAAAGGGTTGAAGTTGGTCCGAATAGTTTTCAAAAAGTTAAATTATTAGGAAAAGGTGACGTTGGTAAAGTTTATTTGGTTAAGGAGAAAAAAACCAGTAAACTTTATGCTATGAAAGGTAATATCAGGAAAAGGGGGATTTAACTTTTGTTTTTTTTTTTAAAAAAAAAAATATATTTCCTTTTTTTATAGTTTTATCGAAAAAAGAGATGATAAAACGAAATAAAATTAAACGAGCACTTGCCGAACAGGTTTGTTATAATTAATAGAGAAAATTTTCTGTTGAATAATTCATTAATTCAATCATTCATTTTAAATTAGGAAATCCTTGCGACATCAAATCACCCTTTTATCGTAACATTATATCATTCATTTCAGAGTGAAGATTATTTATATTTATGTATGGAATATTGTATGGGAGGAGAATTCTTTCGTGGTAGGTTTTATGCGCGTACAATTGGTAAATGAAAAATGAAATATTTTATTGATTATATTTTTTTAGCTTTGCAAACAAGGCCTGGTAAATGTCTTTTAGAGGAAGATGCAAAATTCTACGCTGCTGAAGTTATTGCAGCTTTAGAATATTTACACTTAATGGGGTTTATTTACAGAGATTTGAAACCTGAGAGTGAGTAACGTTAGATATTAATTAATTACAAGAAAGTTATTAATCGGTTTACTAATATCTGTTTCTATATATAGACATATTATTACATCAATCAGGACATATTATGTTATCTGGTATGATCTTAAATCTTTTTATTTATATCCTTATCTATTGATTCCTTTCACTTCGTGAATTTTAAATATTTCATCCGTAATAACAGATTTTGATTTGTCAAAACAATCTCACCCTGCTAATATGCCCGGAATTGTAAAGAATAGTGGTGGAAATGCAGTAAGAAATGATAATTTATTATATAAATATAACGTTATATTACAGTTTTTAATCAAGTTTTTTTTTTTTTTCATTTTTAGCCTCCATCAATAGATACTAAGTCATGCATCGCTAATCTAAGGACAAACTCATTTGTGGGCACTGAAGGTAATTAATTAATAAATATATCATATACTTTGTATTTATATTTTATAATTTAATATATATTCTTTCATTTATTTTAAGAATACATTGCTCCTGAAGGTAATATACATTCATTTTTCATCTGTCTTCTCATATTACATATTCTAAATTTTTTATTTTTGATTTGTAGTTATTAAAGGATGTGGACATACAAGTGCTGTGGATTGGTGGACACTTGGAATATTAATATATGAAATGCTGGTAATTTTTTTTTTAAAAAAATATTTATTTATTTATTTATCTTATATTAATTCCATTTCATTATGATAGTATGGATTTACACCTTTTAAAGGTCAAAACCGTAATGCCACATTTTCTAATATATTAAGAAATGATGTTTATTTTCCAGAAACAGCCCATGCACAACAAGTGTCCAAGTACGTATTTAGCAGAACATATTTTATTTTTCCATTTTAAATTATCGAAATATTGAATATTACCTTCCCTTTTCAAAAAAATTAGCTTATGTAGGTCGTTAATTAGAAAGTTACTTTTTAAAGACGAAAACAAGAGACTAGGGTCAAAAGCGGGAGCATCAGATGTTAAAGCACATGCATTTTTTAAGAATACACAGTGGGCTTTACTGAGACATACTACACCACCAATTATACCAAAACAAAGTTATGGTACTGACGCTGTAAATTTTCGTAATATACAAGAAAGTGTTAGTTTAGATATGGAATGTGATAAAATCGTTGTTGAAATTAATGGTGAAAATCCTTTCGAAGAATTTAACAGTGGTGAGTATTTTTATAAAATGAATTCGTTTAAGAATGAAGAATTTATGTTAATAATTCAAATTTTTTTTAGTAACATTACATCATGATGGAGATGATGATGTTGAGATATAGTACAAAACAATTAGTGTAATTTAAACTTTTTTTTTTCCCTTAGTAAATAATAATATATAAACCAAAGATTTAATATATTTTTTTATAGACTTAAAAAAAAAATTTCTTTTATCTTGATAATAGCATATAGGCTTTTTATTTTTATTTTATTTTTTTCATTTTCAATTTCAATTTTTTATTATCTTTACGCTGGACGTTTGTTATTTTATTTGAGAAACCTTTTCAAGAAAAATAAATAAACATTATTTAATTATCTTTCGTTAATTCATATTATAATTATTACAAAATTATCACTCTGATTATTTATCAACCATGAACACAATTAACATGAAACGATTCGGAGCTTCTTAATTTTATGAACTATGTCTGACATATTAAAATTTGAAATAAGTTTTCTTTTTCTTTTAATTTTTTTTACTTTTCTATTTTCTTTGATCATTGCTTACGTAACTAAATTTCTGAATTGCTATTTGAAAATAATTTTAACAAAAAGAACCATATCGATTCCTTTACGTAAAACGGGCAAGTAATGTTATTTCGCCTTTCTTTAGATACCTTCGAAAGACGAGTCTTTAATATCAATGCTCCTAAAAAAAGCTGGATCCCATTTGCTTCATATAATTATTATTATGCGTAATAATAATTACTACCATGTTAAAATACTTTTGTTGCATGCTAAAAGTTTGAACGTTACCTATGTTATATATATATATGGTGGTTTACAACAGAAATACAACTATGAATTGCTAATTTTCAAAAGTCTATTTATAACTCGTCAATTATATAAATGTTAAAAAATTTGGTTTTATACCAATTTTTACAATTTAATGATTTACAATAAATCATTTACTTAATAAATTTAAAGCATATAAAATTTTTTGATTCAATACCAAAAAAATGACATTAGATTATTTTGTATTAGTAATTTTAATAATTTAAGAAAATTATCTTATATATAAAAAGAAATTCATATTATATTTCTATTTAATAATGCATTATTTGAAATATTTTTTAGAAAATAAGATTTCACATTTAATATAAAAATCTTTTATATATATAGTTTTATGTAAGCATTTAAATATTATTTTTAAAATATTTATTAATAATCCTTATTTAAGATATATTAGTTTAGTCATAACTAAACATCTAAATAGTAAAGAAAAACTTGGTTAAATTATATTAAAATCTTATTAAAAAATCTGTAAAATTTGGAAAAAGGTAAAGTTATATTAAAGCTTATAAAAATGATGAAATTATATCAAACACTTAGTAAAAATTTCAAAACTTAAAGGTTTAGACATCCAAAATGAGTTTAGATAAGCAAACTTAATCATGACTTTATAAGTAAAACAAAAAAACTTAAAGAATCATGTTATTAAAAATTTGCAAAAGAAATTCTATAATATAATAAAGTATTACAATTGTGATATTTTATAAAAGGCTAATAAAATACTTTTTTATTATATTAAAAAAAAATAATGTTATAAGTTTAAATTATTATAATATCATTTTTATTAATATTTATTCTAAATTTCAAAAATAGCTAATAAAATAAAGTTTTTATATTAAGTTTAAATCAAAAAATTTAACAATAATATTTTTCTTTTTTACAAGTTTTAGGATAATTATAATTATTTTTTATGAATAAAAGTATAATTTATTATTAACAATTTGAATTTTTAAAGAATATTTATATTTATAAAATCAAATAATAAGTAATTAAAGCATTTTTTAATATAAAATTATACTTATTAACAATCTTTTGATAAAAAATAAAGATATAATAAAAAAAAGTATTAAAGTAACTAATAATTTTATACTATTTTATTAGTAAAGTTAAAAAAAAAAAATTTATTAATAATACTAAAAGTAATCTTAGAATATATTGAAATTCAAGTAAAATATTTAATTTGATAAATTTATTAATGATATTAATATTAGACTTGATAATAATATATTGTATAATTTCTTATTAATAAAAAATGTTATATTTTAAAAGTATTTTGCAACTATTAAATTAAAACTTTTAAAGATTTCTAATAATATAACAATAATGATTATCATAATATTTATACTAAAAAAAATACCTAATACATTTATAATATTATTATTCAGTAAAATCAATATTAATAATATTGATTTCATCTTTTTTATTCTTATTATAAATAAATATTTAAAGAAAACTATTTTATTCTGATTATGATTGACTAGTTAAGTCAAATATATATTATCTTTGAAAAAGTAATTGAATATTAAAAAAAAAAATCATTATTTATAATTTTTAAATACAAATTTATAAAATAAATTCAATAAATAATATTTTATTAACTATTATTAGTTTTTAATTTTTAATATATACTTTATTTTATATAATTTTAGTAAAAAATTTAAAAGGAATTTTTCTTAATTTTTCTTATAAAACTTCTATAAATTTTTAAAAATTTTTAGATATATAACTTATTTGCAATGCTTTTATTTAAGTTTATTTATAAATAATGAATTGGGTTAAGATTTGAAGATTAAACAGACTTATTAAAAAATATTTTAACAAATTCTTAATTAATTCAATTTTTAATATTTATTATTATATGAATTAAAATATTATTATTATAAAATGTATATAGTTTTTATAATATTAAAGATTAAATAATAGCAATAAATTATTTTCTAAAGTATTAAAATAATCTAACCAATTCATTTTTCTTACAATTTTTACTAATAATTTTAATTATTTTTTTAAAAATATTTTGATATTATAATATTATCACCTTGTTTGTCAAATTTTCAATATTATATTAGATATTATTTTTTTATAAATAAAATCAAATTTATTATTTTCAAAAAGGTAAAATATGATTCATTATTTTAAATTATAGTTACTACTATTAAATTGATTAATTTTATTATTTTATATATAATTTCATCAATTTTTATATTATAATTTTATAAAAATGATTTTTATAAGTAAATTTCATTTGATAAAAAAGTTTTGAATAGTTTTTTATAAATCTAAAAATCAGCTCAGATCAGATTTTAGGCTAATTTAATCTAATCAAAAATATTCAGTTCAATTTAATTTAAATTATAAATTTAAAAAAAAAATTAATTTGAATTAAACTGATCAAAATCTATAAATAATCTAATATAAACCAAAAATTTTAAATTAATTCAAAAATATCAATAGCATAAAATAATTAAATAGAATAGAAAAAATAAAAATAAACTTAAAAATAAAAAAAAATAGCATGAAATGAGAAGAAATAAAAGAAATATAAAAAAAGGTAGATATGTAATATTATATAAGAATAATTAGATTATTTATTATAGGTGATTATTTATTATTAAACTTATCATAGTAATTGTTGAAACTCAAAAAATGTAATATAAAATGTTAGTATATAATTATATTATCCCTGATTTATAATTTATAAGAATTAAGAATTCAAGTTAAATTTTAACGATTAATAATACAGTGAAACCTCTCTAAATGCACCCTTCCTAAATGCACACATATATATTTTTTCTATAAATACATATTCCACACAGCCCAAGTATATAAAGATCATACAAAATTTCTCTCTTTAAATGCACACCCTCCTTAAATGCACATTTTTTCAAATTTTCACTGTAGTCCTAAGGGGGGTGCATTTATAGAGGTTTCATTGTATGTACTATTCAAATCCTATTTTTAATATATAGCTTAAAAATTAAAAAACTATTTCAAAAACTATTAAATGATTTTTCTAAATCTGAATTTAATTAAAATTTATTAAATTTAGAAAAAATATTAGAAGTTTAGATAATATATTTTTTATAAATAAATAATTTAAACTTAAACTTAAATATTATACATATATCACTTATTTAAGTCAAGCAATTTAAAGAACTGGCATAATAATATCATAAGAGAAAGTATTTTTAATTGGTTAACAATCAATTTGATTAATATAATTATGATTGGTTAGTAATCACATGATATTACATGTCTCCTTCTAAATTTTAAGTTGTAATTTTTTTTACCAGTATGAGAAAAAAATTTGAATCCTTGTGCTATTAAAGAATATAATAAACATTTTCGTACTTTTACAATAAATTGTAAAAATAAGGCAATTGCTAAAGAAATTTATGATTATTACAATATAAAAGTAGAACTTCAATTATGTTATAATCATTATTTAGTAATTTGTGAACTAGACTGTCATACAAACTATAATAAAAATATGTTAAAAAATAATGATAAAAAAAACCATATAAGTAGGAATAGAAATCCTACAAATAATATTTGATAAATTAAAATAATTAATGTTTATATTTAATTTGATTATTATATTATTATTAAAGGTAAGAACTGTAATTAATACATTACAACTTTTAATATTGCAACTAAAGATAGCACTGTAATTAAGAAGTTGCAACTCGGTAAGTTGCAACTTGGGTTGCAACTGGTTGCAACTTCTTGCAAAATTTATTTTAATATAAAAATGTATAAATAGTTGCAACTCAATGAGTTGCAACTTAAGTTGCAACTAGTTAAAAATTTTAAAATTAATTACAACTCCATCTTTAATTGCAACATATATTGCAATTAGTTTTAATCTATATATGTTGCAACTTATACTGTTATAATATATATTACAACTAATTTTAGCTTATATTACAATAAGTTATAAATTTGAAATTAATTGCTACATCATTTTTAATTATTATAAATTAATATTTATTTTAGATTTTTAGAAATGTATACTATTACTTACTGAAGTTTTATGTAAAAAGCAGCAGAAAGAATATATGGGTTTAGTATTAAACCTATTAGCATTTAAAGATATGATTAAAGAAGCAGATTCACATTTGATAGGATTTTTTAATATGATGGTAAATGCAATAATACCATTATCACACAATCTTATAGGATCATGTTGAGTCTAATATTTTTTTATAATATACTTTATTTTGCATTGATTATACAATATTAAACATTAGTAGTTTATTTGCATTCAACATTTAAATTATAGCTAATTATCATATAACTGAGAAATATTTTATTTTCTATCTTAATTTCATATTAGTCTCAGTAGTATTAATTTATTGTAATAGCTTACATGAAATAATTAACTTTTTATAGTAATCTAC